ACACACACACACACACTCACACACACTCACACACACACTCACTCACTCACTCACTCACACACACACACACACACACACACACACTCACACACAGAGAGAGACACACACACACACACACACAGTATATAAACATGCTGCGTCTCTGAATGACGTGATATTAATGAATGTATACTGTGATGTAAGTGATGGCTGATAAATTTAACAAAATAAAATGACGTTTAATTTCTCCATAAAATGTGTCATAGAGCTCAGCAGCGCGTCTAATGCTCTCTAATGTCCTTTGACCACATAAAACCTAAATGCTGTTCAATTTGTTGTGAATAAAATCACCTATTTATTTATTTTAGTGACCTTCTTTCCCATGAGGTTCATAGTGTGTGATTTGAGGTCATGTGTGTCGGCCGTGAAGCAGTGACATTTCAGGACACAAAACCAAACGCTGTTTTCTTCCGAATGAGAAACAAAATCTTGGAAAAACAATCCTGTTGTTTTTGGAGAGAAAAACAGCTGTGGCTAACAGAATAATTCTGTAAAAATACACTAAAAGTGTAAATATATTTGCAGGACAAACTTTACGTTTCACAGTTTAAAATAGTCATTTTTGTTTGTAAATTATTAAAACAGTAAATTTAAAGCCCTTTTTTGGCTCTTTTTTTAAGGACTATTATACAGTAGGTAACTAAAAACAATAATATTAAAAAAATAAATGTTATTTGAAATAAAAATTGAACTAAAAAAATAAATAAAAAAATAAAAAAAAATAAAAAAATAAAAATATATATATATATTGCTAATGCAACATTTCTTATTTTCATTTAACCTGATGTACTACAAACTGAAAAAATAAAGAAATAATTTTAACTTCCTTTTGCAGATTTGAGCCGTTTTGTCGAACCGTGGTTTCGAACCGGAACTCTTCACCATCTAAGTGAAACGCCGTATCGCGTGAGCTACCGAGCAAACCTATTGAATTAGAAAACTCATGCATATGAAGCTGGATATGTGTCGACAACGTTCAAATGCATCGGTTTTCAAATCTCAAAACATTGTTTTGAATTCATAACATAATATTCTTCAAGCAATTATGCTCAAATTAGGCTTTATTAATCAAAACTGTGGACCTGTAAATCATACTTTGTGTGAAAAGGAATAAAAGTTGTGGGAGTTTTACTGCCTCTAGTGTTCATTTCAGCTGGAAACTGCACGATTTGTATGTATAGGTACATTTTTTGAGTTTCACAGATATGTAGGTAGAGGCACGTATTTCCAATGAGCCTAGGTTGTCCAATAGGGATGCACCGATATATCGGCCGATAATCGGTATCGGCATATAATCGGTACATGCTGTCAATCAAAAGGGGGTGGAAATATGTGTCAGATTGCTACTCATGTGTGAAGGAAATGTCTCTAGAATTTAGAGTTGCCAAAGTTAACGCGATAATGCAATCTCACTTTAAAAATAGTGCCGTTACCTCAGGTTCTGTTCGACTCTATGAATCACCTGTAGTTTAAAGGGCAGTTCACCCAAAGATAACAATTCTGGCATCATTTACTCACCCTCAAGTTGTTCCAAAACTGTATGACAAAAGAAGAATGGCTGGTAGCCATTGACTTCCATAGTATGGACAAAATACTATGGAAGTCAATGGCTACTGTCAACTGTTTGGTTACCAACATTCTTCAAAATATTGTCTTTTGTGTTCAACAGACGAAAGAAACTCATACAGGTTTTGAACAATTTGAGGGTGAGTAAAGATGACAGAATTTTCATTTTTGGGTGAACTGTCCCTTTAAGTCAGGGTTGCCAGGTTTGTGGTTTCCCCTTCACTAAATATTATTTGTAATGTGCCTCCCATCCAATAATAGCAAAGAGCTTTGTGTTTTGTGACTTCTGATAAGATCAAAGTCTCAGCTTTCAAATTCTGTCTTTCAAACAATGAATGCCGTTTTGATGTTTAAATGTGGCGTGAGAGTTCGCTGTAGCACCTCAGTTCAAGCAGGAGTCTCTTCCACTTTAACAAGTTGTAAGGTGAGATAAACATGAATAAACATTAGAAGGTGTTGAAAGATACAACTTACTGAAATGAATCATGTCTAACGTAATCGATCAATAAGTCATGGAAAGATGCCAATAAAACAGCTTGTGATCAATATGTCACTTAACGTTGTGAGGAGCTAGAGAGGAGCATATACACTGTTAATTATATATGTGACCCTGGACCACAAAACCAGTCATAAGGGTCAATTTTGAAATGTGTACATGAATAAATAAGCTTTCCATTGATGTATGGTTTGTTAGGATCGGACAATATTTGGCTGAGATACAACTATTTGAAAATCTGGAATCTGAGGGTGCAAAAAAATCTAAAAACCCATACATTGTTTTTTTGGCTATTGCAAAAATATACCCCAGCGACTTAAAGGCACAATATGTATTTTTCGTCACTAGAGGGCGTGTATTCAAAATAAACAAAGAGACAAAGGCGTAGTTTGATGAC